CATTATCTGAAGGTGGAAACATTCGTTTGCCTACTGCAAAATCTGATTTACTTAAATGCTTGCCAAAGCCAATTGACGAGCGTAATCCASCAACTAACATTGATTGTACAATCTTTGATGGTGCTGTGGTCGTACATTCACTTCCTATCACTGGTGCTGTAACATTTGATGACTATGCAGAGAAGATATTCATCCCCCACCTCCTACAACATTTGCAGCATTCCWACCGAGTAGATGTTGTATGGGATGAATATATGCCTAGTAGCCTGAAAGAGTCCACAAGAGAGAAGAGAGGGGCTGGCATGAKAAGAAAAGTTGGAAGCCAAGTAAAGCTACCACAGAAGTGGATGGAGTTCCTCAGAGATAACGACAACAAGAGAGAGCTTTTTCAATTTCTGACACATAAAGTTGAAATTTTCCCATTTCCTGCTACTAAGATTGTCAATATTACCAAAGGTATGTCAACTTTCTAGGCAATTATTTGCAATTATCTGACTCACTCTTCAAAACCAATTTTGCGTTATGACTAAGGAGAAAAACGTATATCGTTAAATCGATAATATTGTTTGGTCGAGGTCTTTTTTTGTACATACATTTTTCGTCGGGAGAGAGAACGTTATCGTAAAATAGAGTTCATCGTTAGATAAAGTATCGTAAAATGAAGGTTCCACTGTAATGCAAGTTGWATATATATATTTTTTAGGACAGAAAGTTGTCACACATGGACCAACTGCATGGAAAACTGCAACCACGAAGAAGCTGACACGAGAATTATTGTTCACCTCCTCCATGCTCTACAGRATGGATCACTAACAGTTCTTGTCAGGACTGTCGACACCGTTGTTGTTGTAATACTTGTAGGAAAATTCAGGCAGCTAAAAGAAGTCCACGAAAACCTAGATGTATGGGTTGCGTTTGGAATGGGAAAAACCTTTTCCTTTATCAGCATCAATGAGCTTTGCCATTCCCTTGGTGAAACGAAATCCTGTTATCTTCCACTTTTTCATGCAATCAGTGGATGTGATACTACATCAGCTTTTTATGGCAAAGGCAAAAAGTCTGCATGGGAAGCCTGGGAACTATGTCAGGACATATTAACGCCAACGTTAGAGTTTCTTTCTATGCACCCGTTTCATCATTTAACAACTGATTCCACACATTTCAAAAACCTTGAAAGAATGGTTGTTGTTATGTACGACAAGTACAGCYCTCTAGGATCTGTCAACAGTGCAAGGAAAGCGCTTTTCTGCAAAAACAGTAAAGCCATCGAGAAACTCCCACCAACACAGGTAACTGGTTTTTCCTTTAAATAAACTAAAATCTTGAAACAGCAAAACTTTATATAACTATATTTTTCATGAATACTCGACCACAAGATCGAGAGRTCTAATTGTTTTAGTATAAACATAAAAATCTATCAAATAAAGAATGAAAGAAAGAGAAGTTTGAATTTTGCTTGCTCAAAACACTGCAGTTTCTCTACTACCGGTCTATCATAAATTATAGACTATTAGTAGAGTAGCCATGCAATCAGAACGCATGAGAATTTGTGATATATTTATACTAAATACATTTATGTATTSTTGTTTTGGTGGCGATGAGAACAAAAWATTATATGATCAGTGCATTATTGTAGGATTTTTTAMACTTTTTTTCTAGCAAGCACTGGTGAAACACTTGGAAAGGGCAGTGTTTCAAGCAAGCATTYGGATGACTAGTGATGTGAGCAATCAGAATATTCCATCTCCTGACCAGTTTGGTTGGAAGCAAGTAGAAGGTGTTTGGAAACCAGTCTGGACTACTTTCCCAAAAGTGTCCAAGTCTTGCAGAGAAATGATCAAATGTAGTTGCAAAAAGAAATGCAGTCGCTGTAAATGTTTCAAAGCAAAATTACCTTGCACTGCTCTTTGCAAATRCCAATGCACAAAAGGCATCTAAGAGCTGGTGCGACAAAAGATTGYATCTGATAAACCACTTAAATCTATGCATGTACATATCCATATGTAAAAAGGAACTTTTATAAAAGAAATTGTATTTTTACCGAGTTAACATTAAACTTAGCAATCTGATAAGTTTTGAAGGTATTATTTAATGTAATTAATGTCAAAAAGTTATTTTTGAGTTTTCACCACAGGAAGCCCAACAAGGGCATTTTTTGTAAAATTAAAATTCGCCTAAATCGGAACAGAGAAGAGATTTGATTTGGCACCGGCCCTAATATYAATGTTCATGGCCTAACCTACACATGTACCAATTTTGGTGCTTTAATCCACTCTGTATAGATCTGGCTAAAAAATTGCCACCTGACTATGTAAAGCGATTATGCAGATGTAAAGCGACTATCAATTTGTATTGTTAGCGCTCGGAATTTCGGATTCAAATTCCGCTAAATCGGAAAGGTCTAATAAACTGTTCTGGCTCAGTGCTACCATGGTTCATGTGACTCTACTCTAAAATCAAACATAAACCTAGTAAAGGTTTCAGGTTTGATACCTCATCATTTACTAATGCTGGATATCAACCATTTGAAGTGAAACAGCCACCTGGCCTTCTATTTTACTTTATACGTATTCAATGTGGGACGAATGAGTGCTTTGTAAAGTGATTTGCGCCTGATTAGTTAACCCCATTTATCTCAAAACTTAAAAGATTAATGTTCTGATAACCAATTTTTTATCAGGTTTTAAAGACTCAATCATGTGACCTAATGATCAATTCCCACTGGATTAATAGCTCATAATTTTAATGAGTCTGATAATTTCTGACTACAAAGGGACTATCATCTTACCTCGTGTTGCAAGCATGTAAACAGTTATTTTGCTACCATCTGGATTTTTGTAATAATATCCAACTACTTTATCAGAATACATGAGTGGTCCATTGACCAACTTTTGGAAGATGTTATTGCTTAGGACTAGTCCATTTGTGCATGATGTCATGGCAATTTCTACAAATTTGATTGACCCATTGACTTTAGCAAGTCCCTTGTATTTTCCACTTACAATTTCGTGGGTCTTGTATAGAATTGGCTTAGAGTGAATTTTTAAGAACTTCTTAACTTTCTTTTCACGTACTAGGTCTTCATGGCAAGCAGGCAAAAAAACATGGCAACCTCCATGTAGAAAGAAAGCATTGTCTTCCCCTTGTATTATGGGCCAACTTTTATCCAGATCTTCTTTATAAAGTCGGTGCAGGTGAAAAATTATTTCAGTTTTGAGCAAATGGTTTTTCAAGTTTTCATAAAAACAGCAGAAATATGTAAAATACTTTGTGTCCTTATGTTTAGTGATGTAGTTATAATCATTGATTAATTTCCAAAGATTCTCATCATTATGAATAAAACAGCCATTCAGCACCAGTGGTTCATTCTCATCTTTAAGAGTAAGTTTGATTGAGGTGGTTCCCTCGGTCCCATCAGTGGGTGGTGGTTGGTTTCCAAGATATCTTGCAAATGTACTCATGCTAAACTAATGGTCAACTTGTTCTCGTCAGATTCCTGGAATGAAATAAAATAGATAAATTGATAAGGTCGAATAGACGAAACTAGTTTTCCTCAAACATTGTGTTTTCTGTGTGTCAAAGGAGGGGTAAAAGTTGAAATTATTTTGACGTCCTACAATATGAAGAAATAAAATAGTTTCCAGATCATCAACCGAATGACAAAAGTAAGATATAATTATTACACATTGGAAATCTGTCACCCTTACCTATAAGACGATAAGTAGGTGCAACGACCACATGTAGCCCAAAGTTATTATCAGAACAAAAACCTTCAATGGGTTTGCGTGGTTATCTTCTTTGCAAACATTAATGACTCAGGGAGTGGACTTTCGGCGTAAGTTGGGCAATAAGTTGGGCTACCTGTGCAAAAACATTGTATCAATAAGATAATTTGATTAATCACTTCATAAATATGGTTGAGTGAACAGTCAAATTGAATTTTGAAAGGACAAGTTGACCGTCCATACTTTGACAGAGAAAAAAAAAAAAACGAATAAAAAAGCCATTGTGAACAGAATTTCTGATCGGTTTTCATTCTTTGTTACTTGCTTCATCACTTGTCTCAAGGCCCGTTTACACTTGCAATTTTTGCAGAGCAAATCGTACGTGTCAACAGCCCTCCGATTGTCGCGTCGATCAAAAATCGCCGCGAGTTGCAGCTAAATTTCAAGCATGTTCGAAACTAAACCGATTGTCTTGCGACAATCGCGCTGAAAAAATTGCAAGTGTAAACGGGCCTTCATACGGCACTGTTAGTGGATTGATGTGATGACCTGTGTTGCTCTTTTTAAAAGGCGTTTAGTATTTTTTTTTTTTTTCTTTTTTTTGCGATTTTGTTTGTCTAGTAACAATTGACAGTATTATATCGAAGCCTATATTGTTATTTTTCTGAAGCTCGTAGGAAAACCTGAACCTCATTTCATCGTCATTGTCAGTCCCATTGCTCTTAAACAGCATTAGCAACCAGTGAGGTGGCATACTATATTAAACTTTAATCATTGTTAGACTATGTAGTAATACAAACGTGACGAGCTGACAAAGGGAAGTTTGTCAATTCGCTAAGTAGAGATGGAGAATATTATTTTTATTTATATTATTTTTTTATTTATTTTTTTGTAGAGAGAAATCAAATTTTTCTTGAATGCAAACTTTTGAGTGTGGTGCAGGTGCGGTCGCCTTAAAATACCTGGTATTCGTCCTCATTTATAACAATAAAAAGTCCAATTTTTGTAGTATCTTCGGGAGCACTGTTAATGAGGTCTTGAGTGATGAACACGTCCTCAATATTGTTTTTTAAATCTCCTGTTTCGTAGCTTTAAAAAAAATGAATTAAAAGCTGAGTATTCATTGAGCTACGATATAAAATGTAAAATCTTGCACATGGCGTCTTTGCAGCTTCATGATCATCTTGGATTGAACTAACAGGAAGTTCTGACTACAAATTCAGTTTTATCCTTGTTCAGTAGGTTTGTTGAGAGTCATCCATAGATCAATGTCACAGAGGCAAGCTTTCATATTGTTTAAAGCAACGTCTAGAGCGTCATCATCATTACAGGAGAAAGGAATGTAGATTTGAGTATCATCAGCATAGAAATGATATGACATCTTATGCTTTCGGAGAATATCAGCGACAGGAGAAGAGAAGATAGACAACCGGGCCCAGGACGGAACCTTGAGGGACACCACAACTAAGCACAGGCAACCCAAGCAAAGCAATTGATTCAAAATTGTTTTTTTTTTTTTAATAAAATACATTTTACCTTAATCTCATGTGTTGCTGATGTCATTTAACATTGCTTTGTGTGATTTTGAAGGGTTTTATAACTATTTTTAAAAAAATATCGCCATCAGTCATAAAAGACTACAAGGCTGGTTACAGAGCGTCCACGCCACTCGTCTTTGAAAGCCGAAAAAAATATCTTAAATCCATTTTTTGCCTCCGAAATTCCCTCAGCGACATGTCTCTAGGATCCTTCTATCCAGAATTGGGCAATATTTCAACGGACTTCAAATCCAACCGTGCSAAATYGTYATGTTTTTACGCTATTCTGACTCAATTTTTGAATCCGTTCAAGCATTCATCGAGCTTGATGGACACCGTTCCCTCTGATTGGACGACAGTTACCATGGAATCAGTTCAAGCACTCCCGACTACTACAGGGAGCGTAGGAATTTGTACAACTGTCAAAATCTCAAAAGGGCCCGCCAAGCCCGAGGCCGAACGTACACAGCTCAGGGAAGACTCGTTCGCGCGCTTTTTCGAAGTTTTCAACCGAATCCAGTTACACTGCCAGGTTTATTTTCAGGAGTGATGCAAATGCAAAGTCTTTCAAGCGTTATCAAATTCCTACACTCCCCATAGTAGTCGGGAGTATTTGAACTGATTCCATGGTAACTGTCGTCCAATCAGAGGGAGTTTGATAAACGGTGTCCATCAAGCTCGATGAATGCTTGAACGGATTCAAGAATTTGAATCAAATGCTTTGCTTGGGTTGCCTGTGAACAAGTTGGCGATTGTTGACCGCTTGGCGGGAAAAGGCCGCCTCGCGTCGAGTAACAGTTTGTAAAGGCGGGAATGTTTTTTGATGCTTTCGACTGCTTACAAAATGGAGCCGGCATCAAAACAGATTTTCAAATCTTAGTCAAGAAATAGACGAAATGGTTGTCAACAAAGACTTGGAAAACACTACAAAGCTACAAAGACTGCTTTGGCTACGACTCTGATAGAATTCTGCAGACAAACCAAGAGAGAAACGGTGAATTTGGACAAATGTCACGTTAAATTTCAATTCAGGAACTCATTGACTGTTTCATTCATAAAGTTTTGCTAGTTTTTTGTCATTTGTATATTTATATTAGTTTTTTTTCAAGCACAAGGAAATTTAAACGCTTAAGAGTGAATGTCTGTAATGGTCAAACAAATCGTGGCACCGGTGCAAAAATCGATTTCACTCATATTTTGTTGTTAGGTAGGGTAATGTATCCTAAGAATCGYCAGGTATTTGGTTTGCTCAAATATCGCTTTTAAATGGAGAAAATCAAGATTTTCTATAGGCACCCAGATATGCTAATTTTGCCGTTCAATTTTGGCTTGACTTTTTGAATGTTTAAGTGAACACTGAGCAACACTATCCGATAAATCATTTTGAGCCCTTGTAATACTATATCTTATTTACCATTTGCGTGAATTTGAGTTCATTTGAAAGATTAGAACACATAAAGATAATATTTTTCGCTAGCCCCCTTTTCACAGCCTTAAAAAGTATAGTAAACAAAAAAGTCGACTCTGAATTTGCTAAACCTTTAAACGACGTGAAACATGGTTATTGTAATGCTGAAATGATATTCTTTGAGTGGCTTAAACAAATCCTTGGGCGATTGTTTGGTAGTAACGCTACAAGGTCTCAAATTTGACATCAACTTGACCTTTGGCGGAAACCAAAACACAACGGATCCTTACAAAATTAATCGGTTAATGCCAATAACATCGCTCAAAATCGCTTGTTCGCTTATATATTATTAGTTCTGTAGAGAATCTTACCTCGGACTCTTGAAAAGTGCGAAGATTTACGATATTTTAGCTGGAAAAACCATCATCACGTCTATGTCGGTTTCGAACTTGTCAACACGTGCATATAATTAGACACAGGAAACCCATAACTCAATGATAAATTTATTGTTTCGATTTTTCATTACAGTTCTTTCCTCTCGTTGGTTACAAGTTGTGCTAAATGCA